ATTATAGTTTTTTTGGACAAAATGGTAAGACATTGACATGAACAAAAGGACTTACAAACTCGGCGATGTTTTCAGCCGTCCCTCTATGAGAATCACCCATGGTTAGTACAGACATTGTCGAGGGTTGGGAGTTTGAAAGTTTAAGAGTTTCAGACTTTGGGAGGTTGCGAGTTTGAGAGTAGGAAAGTAAGAGAGTAGGAGAGTAAGAGAGTAGGAGACTTTAAGTGTGAGTAGAATTTGATGGGTAAATACCCCATATTTATATTCCAAGAATGGATATGGTTTAAGTGCATGCTTGAAACTTGTGATGAGATATGTGTTGTGTGAGTGCATGCTGAGCACTTGGCGTGACATATGTGTTGTGTGGGTGCATGCTGACCACTTGGCGTGACATATGTGTGGTGTGAGTGCATGGTTGGCACTTGGCTTCAGCTATGCGTAAATGCAGTGTCTTTTTGGTAAAAGGATGCAGATTCCTTCAGTGTAGCGTCTAATCAAACAGGCTACATGGTCAATGTAGGGATGCAGATCACATGTGAACAAAGGAGATTCCTTCAGTGTAGCGTCTAATCATACAGTGGTTCATTCATTGCATAATGTGATTATTTATTCAGCATATTATATAATATTTTTATTCATCGTAATGTGATTTATTTCATCATACGATATAATATATTTAATATTTTTAAGGCAAAGTGTGATTTATTTCGTATTATACTATTTTCCATATTATACTTTATTCATATTATGGAGCATGCGTGATAAATGAACATCACATGTAAATGCAGAACTTTGTATTGTCACTTCATATCAAGTATGTGGTTCACGTTATTGATTATGGAGCATGCGCCATAAATGTAAGGCAGACAGAGATTCCTGACTTGAACATCACATGTAAATGCAGAACTTTGCAGTGTCAATTCATATCAAGTCTGTGGTTCACGTTATTGATTAAGGAGCATGCGTGGTAAATGAAAGGCAGAACTTTATTGATACATGCAAAAACACTAAGCCCATTTTATAAAGCCTTTATCAAACACACTCAAAGACTCAAACATTCAGAAGCACTAAGGTCATTATATAAAGCCTTTATCAAACACCCTCGAAGACTCAAACATTCAGAAGCACTAAGGCCATTATATAAAGCCTTTATCAAACACACTCAAAGACTCAAACACACTCAAACACTAAAACATTGTTACACCCCGTTATTCAGACACCATAATTTCCACAATGTCTCAAACACCACAACACATGATTGCCGCTCATATGAATGGTGAAGCTTTCGAATGTGAGGATTCGGGATACACTTTCAGAAACACGGAGGTTACAAGATTTTTAATTGACAAAAGGTCTAATTTTTTACACCTGAAGTCAAGAATCGAAAAAAAAACTGCAGTGCGATCCAATTGGCCAAATAGTATACAAAAACCCAGTATTCTTTGGCGGACTTGATTCGTGCAAAATTTTTCCTTTAAAGGTGCGAGATGATGAAGACGTGCGTAACATGTTCCGCACTCACGAGTATTCAGGGTTCTCAGAAATCATGGTATACGTTACGTTACAACAGCAACAACTGTCTCAGCAACTTGATTCGTCACAAGTTTTTTGCGATTCTGAAGATGAACACCCCGAAGTCAATGTCGTGGACGAAGAAGAAGAAGCAACTGAAGTCATTGTTGACGAGATGGTGAACAATCCGGAGGATGAAGTCTATTGTCCACCAAATCACATGACTGATATCACCTTAGTTGATGATGAACCTGCAACGGATGTTTTCTACATCCCCAACCACACAACACGGGGCCAACTTAAAGAGGGCGACGAGTTTCGTACGAAACAAGATTGTGTCCAGGCTATCAAACAGTTTCACATGGAATTGTCAGCCGATTACAGGGTTGATCACTCAAATCCAACGCGGTATATGATCTATTGCCGTAACGAGGAGTGCCCGTTCAAATTAACAACATCTTTCAGGAAGAGAAGCGATTCCTGGAAGATAGGGTCAATGGGTCTGTCCCACAGCTGTATCATCTCGAATCTGATGCAAGACCATCGCAAACTAAACTCTAAGTTGATTTGTGATGAGATTCTATCAGTCGTCAGCGACAACTCATCTTTGAAGGTGAGTACCATAATTGCGCATATGGTACAAAGGTACAACTACACTCCTTCGTACCGAAAAGCCTGGATAGCCAGGAATAAAGCTGTTGAAATGGTGTTTGGAAATTGGGAGGAGTCATACAAGGAACTTCCTAGTAGCCCTTAAACACTACTCTCCAGGAACTGTTGCGATATTGGAGACGTTGCCTGCTTGTACACCAGACGGGAGTTATGTTGCTGGCAATGGAATTTTCCACAGAGTCTTTTGGTCATTCGAACCATGCATCAAAGGGTTTGCATTTTGTAAACCTATAATTCAGATTGACGGAACCTGGCTTTACGGGAAATATAAGGGCACACTTCTGATGGCTGTGGCACAAGACGGGAACAACAACATTTTTCCGATAGCCTTCGCAATAGTTGAAGGGGAGACTGCTGGGGGTTGGAGTTTTTTCTTAAAAAACCTACGGTCATACGTGTCTCCCCAACCTAACTTATGTTTGATCTCCGATTGACACCCATCCATCGAGAGTGCTTACAACAACCATGACAACGGTTGGCAGGATCCTCCATCGACCCACGTCTACTGCATAAGGCATATTGCCCAAAATTTCATGAGGGAGATCAAGGACAGGACGCTGCGGAAGAAGGTTGTGAACGCGAGGTATGCACTAACTGAACCAACATTCAGATACTACCGTGACGAGATTAGACTGAACAACGCGGATGCATTAAGATGGATTGACGGCATTGATAGGGAGAAATGTACGCGGGCATACGACAATGGGTTGCGATGGGGCCACATGACAACCAACCTCGTCGAGTCAATGAATTCTGTTTTCAAGGGAATTCAAAACCTCCCAATAACTGCGTTGGTAAAGGCAACCTATTTTAGGATGAGATCACTTTTTGATAGCAGGCGTGCGAAGTGGGGTTCGGTATTACAATCGGGTCAGCTGTACAGCGACACTGCAATGAAATTCATGAAAGACGAAGCTGCCAAAGCCAACACCCACGTGGTCACAATATTTGACCGTACAACTGGTTGGTTCAGTGTTGCCGAGGCTATAGATCACAATGAAGGAAGGCCCAGGGGATGTTATCGTGTTGAATTAGATAAGAGCTGGTGTGATTGTGGAAAGTTTCAAGCATTCTGTATGCCTTGCTCTCATGTCATAGCAGCTTGTTCGAATGCGCGCCAGGACCCAACCAACCTTCTTTCTGCAGTTCACCAAGTCATAAGTCTATGCAATGTCTACTCGTGTAGTTTTCAGGTGTTGGCAAAGGAAGACTATTGGCCGGAATACGAAGGCCAAATTGTTTGGCATAATGACTTGATGCGCAGAAAAAAGAAGGGTCGGCCTAACAGCACGCGCATACGAATAGAGATGGATACATCGGATAAGCTAGTGAGATTGTGTAGTTCGTGTCGGCAACCAGGACACAATCGTACGACGTGTCCAAACGTAGGACCAAGCAGCAGATCATAGTTTCATTTGTAAACGTGTCCATTTAATTCAATAGTAACTTTCATTTGATTAAAATCAAATTTCATTCTATTACAAGCAGAAGTAAGTGCAAATTTCCTTCTATTACAAGCAGAGTTAACTTTCATAAATTAAACAAACATAACAACAAATTAAAAAGATACACCAAAACACCGGAACAGAGCGTCTACGATATCACGACCATCAACTTTATCTCCTTTGGTGTCAACATCATCACAAGGACGCCAACATCATTTTCCACTTTTCTCCATTTGAGGACGCCGACATCATTTTCCACTTTTCTCCATTGGAGCACCTTCATCGGAGGCTTTGTTGCTGAAAACACACAAGGGCATTTCTTTGTTGCTGAAATGCGCATTTGATGACAAAGTGATTAGCACTGGGGTGGCTATACATCCATTGATAAATGTCACCCCAAAAATATATAAGGGAAGTTTAAAACTCTAGCTGAGCGATTTAGCAAGCAAACCAATTTATTTTAAATTTATAATTTCATAAAATAATTTAACCTTTTAAACTTAATTTTTTTAATATTATAGATGACATTATAAATTATATTATAAATTAATATTAATATTAATTATATAAATATTAATTAGATTATAAATTTATATATTTTATGGTTAATAATAATAATAACTAAAATAAAAAAAGAATGAAAACGGAAACCCTAACCAATATAACCAATTCGCCAATTGGTGTGGGGAATGCCCACAAAAAAGACTCTGTCGCCAATTGGTTTGGCGAATTCCTTGAAGCTCATTTGACCTAATTCGTCAATTGATTTGGCGAACGCCTGTTGAACGATTTTGAAACATTGCCATTTTAGTAATAATTTTGAAAGACTAATTTATTTGGTAAATAAAAAATAATACATTGTTAGTTTAAAAAAAAATTCTAGATTTGGCGAGCTGAGCAAACAAAACTAAGACTCAATTGAAAAGTGAAAACTCAAGTGAGTCCTACTTTTATATTTTTAGTACATCCTTTTTTGACATTTTAAAGTAGGGAATTTCTAATATGCATAAATCACTTAAGTGACGCACCGTGCAACACCCTTTTAAACCATTCGATCAAAGTCCACAGATTTATCATACCAAATCACCATCCTTCTCCCTCTCTTTTCTTCTCGCCGCCTCTCACTTTGTTGCACTCATTCAACGTACAGCTTATCTGTAGGCGTTCGTGCTACGGCGTCACCTCCCTCATCCCGTGTCCCTCTTTTCCTCTCGCCGTATTCTTCGTTTCTCCATACTTCAGGTTAGTTCAGTTCTCTGCATAGCTGATTTTAGATATAAGAGCTTAAACCCTTAATATTTTCATTGCGCTGTAGGGTTTATCATTATACGAAAAATTCATAAACCCTCCTAATTCGAATAAAACTCGACAATGGCGGATTCGGAAGCAAACGCAAAGATTCGAATACGTAAGCGAAAGCAGAAAATCAACGACCAACCCGAAAAACCTTCCAAACTGCACAGGTGCATAAAGTCTGTTCAGAAGCCTCAGGACACTGTGAGATCTTCCACTCCATGGAACAATCTTCAATTGATACTGTGCATTCAAGACAGACAACTTGATCTTCACAGGTTATTTTCAACCATCTTTAATTTATATCTTGAACTAGGCAATGAATTTTCAAGTAATTGAATACTTTCAACTGTGTGTTTTTAATATGAATTCCCTCACCATTTAAACTATCCATGAGACTGAGACTTTTTTTGTGTGTTAGTGCAGTAAGGTCAATCAAGCATTCAATTTTGTGCGTTCAATGGTGGGCGATGGTGCTGACATTGATCAGCATTGTGAAACTGTAAAACTACAAAGACTACTAGGTTACCTTAATGATTGGATCCTGACAGTGTTGTTCCCTCCAAATGGGAAGGAAAACTGGGGTGACGGAAAAACACCCCAGCTTGATGGAATTGATGCATATATGGATCTTCGTTGTTGGGAAATTTTCAAGTTCTGCCTGCAGGAGTCTTTGAAGCTTCGCGTCTCTTTGAATATGTCGCGGAACCTCCTTCAGACTGTCCAATTTATCGTCAAAAATGCTCCATCTCTACTAGAGGACTTTTCCACTTGTTCAGAAGAACATTTTAAATCTGATGAAAAGTTTAAACTATACGACACTGCTCTTGATTGTATTTCGCTGGTGTTCTCATCCCATGGTGGGTTGTTAAACGAAAATTTGGACTTATGGGTTGAAACAACTGGGGCAGTGCTTGAGCTTGTCTTAAAAGTGTATGGCAAGAACCTTGATGGAAGCTGTGTGGGTGCTTGTGTATTCCGTTTTTTGTGGTTGGTGCTTCAGCCCTTCTCCAAGTTTTTAAGGGTCCATCCAGCTAGGAAAGGATTTCAAAATTTTGTGGACAAACTTCTTGAACCATTGCTGCATTTGTCTGGTGAGTTGCATCTTCGGGTCAATAGAAGTGATCCCATTTGGACAGGGAGATTGGTGAAGGTGGTGGAAGAAGTTATTTCTCACGGACTTTTTCATCCAGTTCATATTGATGAATTTTTAAGCTTACATGGTTCAGAAAAGTATGCTGCTTCATGTGATGATAAACCAAAAGATTCAAAAGCAACCATTAAGAGTTATCATAGACATTTGTTTGATGTGCTGAACAAAATCATATCCAGAAAGAATGCTATAGCAATGGGTAGCTTAGGCTTGATATTTCGCTTGTTTGCCGATTCCGCGAGAAAGTTCAGGGGAACTTCAGTTTTGCATGAAGAGAGCAATACAATGGAGAAAATAAATGATTCAAGGCCACCTGTGCCAGGAGAATCTTGTAGCTCCAATAATATTTCTGCAGATACTCAAAAATCCCTTTTTAATTTTTTGGTACTGATTATGGAGCCTCTTTTGCTCGAGCTGAATGCCTTTCTCCAAGCTAAAATAGACGCTAAGCTCCTTTTTTCTGATCTTTATGGTATACTAAAGTCTATTAGTAATTTGCTTGCTAGTTTTATGAAAGAGAAAGTATATGTGAAAACAGAGGACACATCTGGAGGAGCTTGTCTCAATTTCTTGAAGAAAACATTTAATACATTGATAGCTAGTTCCACGAGTATACTCTGCTTCTCCAACTACAATACAACTGATGTGACAGGGATGGAAACATTTTTTTTATCCGCCAACGAGATATTAGTTGCAATGGGCTACCTTTTGGAAATTGAATATGAGGTTATTGGAGAAGATTTGGTGAACTTATGGCTTATTTTGTTATCATACTCCACCGTCAATTGCAATATGGCAAGTGCTTTTGATCGAAGCTCATTATCTTCAACTATTCCTGCCTTGGGATGCCAAATAGTTAATCTCTATAGTCAACTTCGCCAGGTTTGTTTCCAAACTCTGATCACTATAGCAACTTATGTTTTAGAGGTTCGCATTGGTTTGTCCTTCTTGTAGTATCATTACTATACTGTGTGTCAGACTGTCAGTAACTCAGTAGTTATAGGTATGATCATCTGGCAGAGGGAAGAGAAATGATGTTCAGGGAAAGTCTTAACAGAAAATTGTTATGGTCACGGTTTTATTGAGCTAACGTCACATTTTGTCTGTTAAATGATGTAGGTGCAAATTGCCATTCTAGCATTGTGCAAAGCGCTAAGGCTTTTGACCTGTGACGGTGATGCTGAAGAAAGTTCTTCTAAGTTATTGACATTTCTGTTTAATAATGTTCATTCTGAATCAGTTGAAAGACTGTTATTATCACATAAGTTCATCCACACCATTTATAAAGCCATGGAATCTATTCCAGAAGGGCAAGTGAGTGGGTTTATTAGACAGGTAACAGGTGATATATCTGAAACTCTTAGGTGGATGAAAAACTGCTCTCCATCGGCTGATGGAAACAAATTGCGAATGATTAATCTGCATGCAGAACTCTTGGGTAGAGGGCTCTCTAGACTGTATTCTTTAGTGCTTGATTCAGCCACTATAACTGAAGGCAATAGCAATCTTGTTGGAGTTGCTGTTAAAGAACTTATGTCAGTATTGCGTCCCTACTTGAGTATTCTAGTTATTCAACAACCAGATACTATTTGCAAGTTTTTTTCATCTATATTAGGAGAAACTGCTGATCGGGCTGTTGGAAAGGACAAAGTTTTGAAGAAATTTGGCAGGTCCAGTCAATGGGTCTTTGTCCTCTTTTTGCAATTGTTTTTGTCCAGCCGAAGCTTGCTTCGGCAAGCAATCAGCCTTGCGCCTCCTAGTATATCAAAAAAAATGTCAGCCGAGATGGGGGATTACTCAGCATATTCTGCCTTTGAGTTGATGGAGAGGACTGATAAGACCGACATCGGTTTTTTCTCGTGGATTGCTCAACCTTCTGCTTCCCTCCTTGTTGTTATGCAATTAATTTCAGACTTCTATCTAAAGTATGGCTTCAATGATTCCTCCCCTTTGGTTTATATCTTTCAGTCTATGGCTCTTCAGAGGCTTGTTGACTTGAATAGGCACATTGTATTGTTGAAGTATTCGCAAAATAAGCTTTATAGATCACGAATCAAGGCCCTGAAGGAAGAGGCTGCTGGACTTACTAATTTTATTATGGAAAACTTATCGTGTGTGTATCAATCCCCGATCTTTGTTTCTGATGATGTTAAGAGTGAAGATTTAGTTTCTTTGGCACCTCAAATCAACAAATGGAATCAGGGGATTTATGTTGCTAACAAAAATTCATTGCCAATAGCCATTTGGTCAAATCTCTGCAAAAATGTTGATATTTGGGGAAATCATGGTTCCAAGAAGCAGTTGAAAAAGTTCTTCTCACATTTACTTCAAACTTCCCTTCATTGTGTATCAAGCAGTTTTCAAGAGCCAGACATGCAAGATAACTGTAAGCTACTCAAGAGAGTCACTTTGCCGCATATATCAGCAGACCTTCTAAGTGATTCAATTTTGTATGAGCTAAAGGTAATATGCTTTGATTATGCAGAATTTTTTTTTGTCCCAGAGACACACTCTTGTGTTATCTAGTCAAGAGTTACTGATTAATCTATGCCAGTATTTGTTTCAGCTTTAGTTCTGATTTCTGTAAACTTGACTTTGTTTGTTTATTGATGCTTTTATTTCATGCAGTATTTTGAGTAAGAAAAAGACTATATCCATAGATATTCATTTGGTTTTGTTGTTTTAGTTTGCCCACAGGAACCTAGCCACAATCTTTTGCAGTGCTTTAGAGAAATCTGTATTACCACTGTTTAGTAATATCGCATGTACTGCTGTCGAGCTTGTGTCAGTACCTAACTGGATTGAGTTTTTAAGGGGCCTCGACAACTCAAAAGAGGTTCCAGTTGATTGTTCTGCAGTTAAAATGCCGGTCGATCATTCATGTGATAAGCTTCATGCAGATATCAGCAGCAGAGAAAATGCCTCCCCTCTTACCATCAAGAGTTTCACAGATTGCCACCATTTGCTTAATCTCTTGACTTTGATGTCAGATGTCAATGCAGGATCATTTTCACATATTGTGTCTTGTATTTTCAACCTTGAAAGGTACAGTAATCTTTGTGTTGGATACAGCATTATTGTCTTTAGTGTGTGTAAATAAAAGAAAAAATTGTATTACAGAGTAAGAAGTAAATGTGAGAAGAATAATGCCAAAATGCCACAAGTTTCTGATTTTTGCTAAGATAGAAAATTGGAATTTTCACACTATAAACATAGTCCTATCCTATGCCATAATTTGATCACAGTTGCTTTGAATCCAATAGCTCATCAAAAATAGACTGATTATCATTTTTGATAGAATTAGAGCTTGGCCTAATTCAACCTTACAAAATCGGTTGGTAAGGTGAGGGGTGTCACTCTATATAAACCCTTTATAGATTGTATCTTTAACCAATGTGGGACTTGGATTTTTCGCAATACACCCCCTCACGCTCAGCACTATTGTGCTTGGTGCGTGGATATAAACGGTGGGTGGTCTGAATTATCGATATATGAGACTTGGTTTTTCCAATACAACCCCTTGCGTCCAACGTTTATTTTGGGCTTGGTGCACATATATAAATGGTTGGTGGCCCAAATCGATAGGCTCGTGATACCATGATAGAATTAGAGCTTGGCCTAATTCAACCTTACAAAACCGGTTGGTAAGGTGAGGGGTGTCACTCTATATAAACCCTTTGTAGATTATATCTTTAATCAATGTGGGACTTGGATTTTTCCTAATAATTTCGACGACTTTAATTTGCCAATAAGATATAAAATCAATGCATCCATACTTCTGTTGTTATATTTTAAAAAAATAAGAAATTAATTTGATGAAAATGCAAAACTACCTCTGCAAATAATTTTTCTAATTTATTTATTATTATTATGCACCTTGCTCACGATAAGGAAATCCAAATAGCTGCGAACCTTCAGTAAAGATGTCTTAGACACATTTAATTGTTTGTGCCAATGATCTCTCTCGAGCATAATTTGTGAAACGCTTACATAATTAATTCTCAATTTCTATTGGCATAAAATTTGCAGGCTTCTTGTAAATGCCTTGATATATTTTCAGACCACAGTGTACCGGGACTATTATTGTGAGTATTTGAGGTTATTTGTCTCTTGCCGGAAGGCCTTAAGATATATATTAATGGGTTTAAGTGAGAAGACAGACACCATCCGTTCCTCACCAAACTCGGTTATTTCTGAAAGTTCGTATCCTGTTTTGTGGTTTTCAAAGTCATTAACTGTGATTGCTGGATTTCAAGAGGTATTCTCAGCAGAAAATATTCTATTTAAATCTCTGATGTTTTCTTTAATGGATCACACTGCATATGCCTTGTTGGGCATTGGAAAACATCAATATATCCATGCTTTTTGTTTTGATAACAAGGCTGAGATACCTTGTGAAGAGATATCTGATCACAAAATTAATCATACAGAGAATCACTCGCTTTCATCTTCTCAGCATGTAGATTCTTCCAAGCTTGAGCCATTGAAGTGTTTAACCTTAATAGCTCGGAATTTGAAAGAGCAGATGCAAAATTTAGTTGTATCTCAAAAGTGTATTCTTTTCCATGTCAATGTGGGACATGGTCTTACTTGTGAAAACATGAATAGATTGTCTTCGGCAGTTTCGTGCTTTAGTGGAGTTTTGTGGGCCCTAACATCTGCCCTGGGTCAAACTGATGTTAAAGATAGTGGTTATAAAGAAAAAGTGTTGATGTGGAAACATGAACATGGCTCTGAACTAAATAGTTGTATATTTTCTTTTGTAGAAGTTGTTAATATTTTCATAGACAAATTGCTCAGTGAGAAAAATCAACTCTCCGAAAATTTACACGATACCCAGAGTTTTGAGAAGCAAGCCTTCAATTTATGCTCAGTTTCTAAGGCAAATGGATCGGCTGGAATGCAAAAAGAATCTAAAACGGAAGCTCCTTGCTCCACTTCATCAGCAACTGATAATGTCTCTAAAAGTGGCAGTGATGTTGAAATAATGTCAAATCCCGAAAGTGTAAACTTTGTTGCCAGTGTTTTGGCTAGGGATGATTCCCCTGAGCCACTGGGTTTGAATAAACCTTTGTTACAAAGCTTGGTAAAAGGTGATAATCCTGAAGTAGCTTTTTTACTTAGACAACTGTTAATAGCTTCGTCATCTCTTTTGAGGCTAAATTTGCTGATGGATGATTCGCCATTGCCTTCAAGTTGTGTGCCTGCATCTATTGAAATCTCACAAGTATTGTTATTAGAATTTACAGAGATGGTTGGACTCCCACAACAATCTGCTTTTCTTTTGTTAGACGGTGCTCTCAGCTATCTGAGAGAATTAGCAAGTTATTTTCCTTTTACAGATCCTACCTCATCGAGTAAAGTTTATACAAAATTAGTACAAATTCACATGAGGGCAATAGGCAAGTCCATATTGTTCCAAGGAAAAAGGGCAAAACTCACCTTGCACGAAAGACAGTCAAGCACAAAGACACTCCATAAAGGACCATTTGAAGCTTGCTCTTCTAATGAAATGCACGACTTTTGCTTGAATGAATTGAAAACTAGGCTGCGGGTGTCATTCAAAGCTTTTATAGAGGGGCAATCGGAGTTGCATCTTTTGTCTACTATACAGGCCATTGAGAGAGCTCTAGTTGGAGTACAAGAAGGATGCACTATAATCTATGGCATAAAAACAAATAAAGATTGGGGTGAAGTTTCAACATTTGTGGCAGCTGGCATTGATTGCTTGGACATGATTCTCGAATTTGTTTCAGGTATTAAGAACATCTGCGAAGGGCACATACTATGGCTTGAAAACAAAGTTTTCATTTCATTGTCTAATTAATGTTTGCAAACTACATCCCTTTAATATCTTTTTGTCATTCTCAAAGCTAGTGCATTAGTACTGCATTTTGATTCACTTCAGAAAATTTGTAATAATATTAAATGATTTTTTTCATAGTTTTACTATATTTTTTTATTCAAAAAGGATTCGGCACTGTGCACACTTTGGGTTATGAAAGTCATTTGTTGATTGTTGAATAATTATGATTTGCTTCACATGCTGATGGAGATGTAGAACTAGCAGGGCAAAATAGCTTGTTGATGACTGTAGTGAATATTGTATACAAACAACAATGATAACCAAAACCTTTTCCACTAAATGTGTTGCTTCACACATCACATGCGTCGTAATATCCTATAATAAATCAAACTTATGATATAATATAAGTACATGTTATACAAACACACACAGGAATATTATTTATTATACCGTTTCTGTTCTCTAAAATTAAACTGCCAGGACTCAGTTCTTTCATGTATTCACTTGTTTTTCTAATTTACCCTAAATTCTCTCTCAAATGTTATCTATAATCACTTTCTGGGAATCCTAACGTTTCTGCAGCTTTCATATTATGATATTGTATTCCCTATTTATGATCCTTAGTAGAAATACATATACATTGATGCATTTTATTGATTGCTTCTATTCTATCAATATATATTGCATGCTCGATGGGTACAAAATATGGTCAGGGAAAATGCATACTAGTATCTTTCTTTTGTTATTCTATTTCTATGACTTTTTTTTCTTCCTGTTTTCAAGGTCGGAAGGGCTTGAAGCTGATCAAAAGACACTGTCAGAGCTTAGTATCTGCTGTTTTCAACATTATTGTGCATTTACAGAGCCCAGATATATTTTATGTTAACTTGAGATGTAAAACAGTTGCCGGTACTCCTGATCCTGGGTCAGCCATTCTCATGTGTGTTGAAGTGCTAACTACAATATCAAGGAAACATGGTCTTTTCTCAATGGATGTGTGTCATGTGGGTCACATGTTACATATCCCTGCTGCACTCTTTCAGAATTTCCATCAGCATAGAATTTCTAAAGCTTCTCGTCCTTCAGATTCATTTATGGTCTCGGAAGAGCAAAATTCTCATTCAGAAGATGGAGTGAATTTCTGTCATGTAGATCACCAGTTCACAATTAATCTATTTGTTGCTTGTTGTCAACTATTGTGCACCATTATAAGGCATCGCCCAAGGTATGTTTGATTTCTGTTACTTTTGACTCACTTTAGTCAAAGTACAACTTTAGATATTGAATGGATAGAGATAGCAAATATGTGATGCTATTATCATTTGATGTACTTAATAAGTTAATAGCATCTTTGTGCAATCTGATGCCATATTATTCTAATCCCAACATTTAGACTTTGCATGATATTCTGCTCATTTATAATCTTTCCAGTGAGTGCAAACAGTGTGTTGCCCATCTTGAAGCATCTGTCACTGTTCTTCTTAATTGCTTGGAGACAGTTTTAGAGAACAACAAATCAATGGTGAATGAAGGTTGGTTTTCTTGGGAAGTAGAAGAGGCTGTGAAATGTGCTTGTTTTCTTCGAAGAATATATGAAGAGGTATGTACGTCCATATTAGTGTTTCTATAACTTCTGAACAGCTAACATGAATGCATCTTTTGCATTCCATTTAGTAAATTTTCTCGTCTCAACTCAAATACTCTCTCTGTCCTGCCTTTTCAAAGACCAAAGTTTATTTTATGCATAAAGAGCATAAATTGCTTTTATGCTCTTGCTTTTGTTGATGTTAATTTTGACAAAGGACAGAGGCAAGTGGGATTTGAAGTGGGTCAAATTTCAAACGTCCGTGTGATACTCTGTATACATCAATATACCCTTGCCTATTTTTATACTAATAGCAAAATTAACACCGTCTAGTAAGTGGTCATGTGAGGGACTTGGAGCTGCCTATTTCAGCTTGCTGATATGAAACACTGTCTAGATGTTGCTTGTAACAGGCACTGGCAGTTGTAGTTCCTAAGCCTGTATTCTTCTTAAAATCAATATGGCATATTACTTCACCAGCTAGTACTTGTTTTCCGTTGTCATTTTTTCTCTCAAAATTCTGTTTTTTTTTTCTTATTTAAATGGATGATGTGTTTACCTTCTTGTTTACCCAGTTTGTTTCTATGATTATGATGCAGATAAAACAGCAAAAAGATATATTTGGTCGGCAATGTTGTCTATTTTTATCCAACTACATATCAGTGTATTCAGGATATGGTCCCAAGAGAAGTGGTATCAGAAGGTTGTTTATTATTTTTGTTCACTCATTTCTTTTTTCAGCCATAGTCTATCTGTTGCAGGATTACACTTCTAGATCACTCAGATACCCTTTTTCTCTCCCCGACTTTCACTCAGCTTTGTCATCTCAGAGTTTCTCAAAATACCGATATTGATCTATGCATTTAAAATTTCTGTTACCCATATTTGAAATGAATAACAATAAAAAAGTATCAATAGAGATAACATTTGGTAGGCTCTGGCTAACTTCTTTAGAAAAGTGTTGCCAAATAACCATTAGCAAATACTAATTATTCACGCCATTATTTGCAGAGAAATAGATGAAGCTTTACGACCTGGTGTCTATGCTTTGGTAGATGCTTGCTCCATTGATGATCTTCAATATCTTCACACTGTTTTTGGAGGTACGCAACCTTGACTTGATCAAATTCTAGAAAAGCAATTAAAAGAAGAATCTAAATTCAATTTTTCATTTCATTTTGTAGAGGGACCTTGCAGAAGTACCTTGGCAACTCTTCAACATGATTACAAACTCAATTTTAAATATGAAGGAAAAGTGTGACCTTGAAACTCTTGATGGTAAATTTGTGTGCCCACATTTTATTACCACAGAACGCTTTTCACTGAGATTGATAACTTAATGTTTCATGTAATATTTATGGAAAGCCAACTTTGTTCTTGTGGGGAACCGTGTTTGTCAATTTTGCATGTTGTGACAAACCAGGTTTACAACATTCCGGGTGGCCATTTTACAAAGTCCCCATCTATTGGGTTGTGGAAGACACGTTATACTGAGGAGATATCTAGCGCCATTGATATCACTAGGTTCAGCTGTAATAGTTCAACGGTCAACACTATCATACATAATTATTTAACTGATTCTTGTTTTTTTTTATTTTTTTTTTATAAATTGTAGTATGAAGATAGCTTAAACTAAATTGTCCAATTTTTGCTGTCGGCATTGAAAGTTTTGTGATAATGGTACTTGTATGATCATTTCAGTAACATTAGCAATTCAAATATACAGAACCTGGTGAACTTTACTTGAAGTTTGTCGTATCTGTTGCCTTGTTGAATTTTAGGCAATGAGGTGTATCAACAGCTGATTTCTTTTAGGCCATATGCTTCCAAATCTGATGTAACATTTAATATCCAATAATTTATCTTAGTCCCAACTGTTTTTTGGACGAGAATAAGTTCTGACATTAGAATATTTTTCCTGCTTTTCCTATATAGTGATGGTGATATAAGAAAAATTAAACTTCTACACTCCGTAAAAGTCAATTTTATGAGCCACATGATAAATAGTGAGTCGGGAGTGTGGTTTTACCTTTTGGTTAATTAGTGCAAATAAATCATTTTTTATGTTCTTGTAAATGATCAAATGATAATCTGCACAACAATTATTTTATGTTAAAATAGGAGTATTGGAATCGTACACTTCATACCAAACGGCAAATACTGCCTTAAGTCAAATTTTCTATAAATGCTAGAATTGACCCCACCGTTGTGTATGTGTGATGATAGTATCTTCTTTCTCACGGAATGTGATAGCCTAACTAAAAAGATAATATTAAATGAGCAACTACCAAAAAGTTATGTGGTGGACAATAATGTTATGAATAATTACCCGTTTTTGTTTGGATTCCATCTTGTTTTTATAAAATTCCATGTTGATATGGTTGGGGCAATTCCCTTTTCATCATTGTGAATCACTTCTATAAACTCATTCTTCCCATTTTCTGAGGCTTCTATTCTAATCACTTGATGGGTTACTACTATTGTAAACCCAGAGCTAATGATACTCATACTTCAAATGTTGTTCTGATCTTGGCTGTGGCGTTGGTTCTTTTGGCTATACCAAAACTCTTCTCTGGTGAACAGGAGGAAGAAGCTGAAGAAGAGAGTGGTTCCTCACCTTTTGTAGTGCCAATAATTGTAATTCTGATCTTGCTTATGGTGTCATGGCTGGGAAGCTCTAGAAAGAGGGTTTATGCCAAGCCAAGATACTGTCACTGCACCCATGCTTGTTACTGTTACTGGTAGATAGTGTTTGTTGAAGAGCTTTGTGGTGGGTGATGATTGAATTGTTTGTATTTTGTTCTATCACCCGATTATCTATGCTTGTAATTTATGAGTCTGTTCCAATGTTTCATATCAACCATACCTTGTGTAACGTTATGCTATAATATAATGTTATATTTTATATGACTGTGTCTTCACTTTTTGGTGTTAAACAAGTTACAAGAGAGGTTTTTCCGGGGGGGAATGCATTGATTCTTGTAATCAATGAGAGAGAGTAAAGAGGAGTAAGAAAAAGTAGTAAAATAGATTTATTTTATTAGTAGTTAATGATCCAATCAATAATCACCACCCACACCCATCGTGTTAAAGTGGCTCATTTACCACACAACATCACAACATGATAGCTATGTGAACCAGTCCAACGTGATGTCGGCATTTAAGTGGATTATACATTACTTGCAAAAGTTAAATTCTTGCAGCAGTGGTAGGAAAGCACTTGGATGAGTCGGCTGAAAGAGACACCCATGTTGCGTTAGAAATGTAAATAGTGTTGTTGTGTTGGATGTTATCACTTTTTCTTTTTTAAAACCTACTGTAGTAGGTACAATGCAAATCATCTGCGTAGGAAATGGCCCAAAGTGACATCAAAGAAAATCAAACTTTTGATATGCTTTTATTTACAGTACTAACCTGTAATGTACATGTAATTATTGGCAGTAACAAAATAATTACACATCTTGTACTATTTATATGGAAAGTCGTGTATTATTAAAGGTCATAATCAATATTTAATTATAGTTTGAAAAGATAAACAACATTATCTTGCTATATTATGTTATGTCCTCCTACAACACCATTCACTCCTTTTAAGGAAAGAAATCCTGAAACCTCTTTTTGAAATTTCTACCTGCCAACACAACACTGTCTCTAATTATTTGACTTACTATATATCAGTGGTTTCTTAAAGAAAACCATAAAACTCAATGGCTTATGAAGGAAACAGAGATTCCTCTGTTTTGGATGGGTTCACTCTGAATCCTCTGCCATATCCTGTTCTGTTGATCTTAGCAGTGATCTTCATCTTCCTTGGTAGTTCATGGTACTTTTCCTATGAAGAAGTTGTTGAAAATGCTCAAGAACAATTGGGTTGGGTTTTATTTGCCACACCAGTGATTCTCATACTTATAGTTCGTTTGTTATCATCCATGGATGATTCAGAATGGTTTCCTGGTTCTTCCATATGGGGAAGGCGCAGGACAACCTACCAAACCCCCTCAGAAGGAAGCTCTCCATGGGGTGTGGCTGCTTTGATTGTTGTTTTGTTGCTTTTGGTGCAGTTTCAATCTTCTTTTCTTGAGGGTTGGTTTTATTGATTTGTAATCCTTGTTTCTCTTTTGTTTTTGTAATTTCTATAGGTTGGTTTGGTTTTAGCCTTTATGTTTTTGGTTTCTATTAACTGTTAACTATGAGATATGAATATGTGATACATATCCTATAGTTTTGTTTGTAACTATTTAGATGTTATGAAATCATGGAGTTTCTCTTAAAGGCTTGGTTGTTTTCACAAGTCTTATTATTATTCTTATAAGCTCAAAAAATAAAATAAAAGAACATTTTTACATGACATACTCAGCACAAATAGTTAAAAAAAGTACTATAATGTAATTTTTAGTAAACTTCAGACAGTGACATACAGAAAAATGAGTAAGGATTGTTACATATCTAAATAAATTTGTAATGGGAGAGCCACAACAAGCTAATAACAATGCCAAATATCACAAACAAATGAAGAGTTGGTGAAGGAGAAGAAACAGGTGCCATGTTGTGCTCTGTGTATCCATGCTTCCATTCTGCATTCCTCTTCTTGGAGAACAACCACCCCATGTGAATGTTTCGTTATCTCAGAAAAACAGACTGTGTTATGAACAGATTAGGACTATGTTGTTCTGTAATGTTTATATAAGAGGTTATGAACTTCTTTTGCTTCTGATATAAGGTTGGTTTTGGGTTTTGGCATATATTCTTTGAGTGTAACTTAAGACCTATTAACATATTTTGGTCTCTGCTAGAACTTGCAAGTGTCTGGTACTAGTGTTTCTTTTTCCTTTTCTGGAAGAGTACAAAAGAATTTTCTTGATTGAGAAGAATGAGAACACAGAATTATCATTGGCCTTATTCAACACACTTCAAGTTCAAGAAAGAAAAATAAATCTAAATACCTATCATTTGTGTCACACCGTGTTGGTGCCAAAACCACATTTTCAATTCAACCAGGTGAATCATTCAAATTCAATTAACTTGAAAACAATTCTTAAGTTTGAACAACAATTCTTAACTTGAATCATTCAAATTCAATAAACTTGAAAACAATTCTTAAATTTTCTTATTCATTTTTTATAACATACTAATACCACTATTTAGATCTGACTGATGTTTTCACAAGTAGGAATATAAACAATTGAACCTGTGAAGCTTTTCCATCACAAGGAAAAGTAGTTTATGATTAAATTACACAGTACTCAAAATATAAATTCCTAGTCAGGAAGAGAGAACAGAAGCGGCTTTCTTTTCTGGACAAGAATAAATGTGGCATATACCTCTAGAATAGTTGCAGCAAAAGCAGAGTGAAAACCCTCATCATATTAGTTTCAAAAGGCATAATCACTTGTCTAACATTATGTCCTTTCTCATTCACTAGCCTTTCTGCTTCCAACTACACTACTTGATGAGCTATCCTGAACACTGTGAGATGAAGAACACTTGCCTAACGAACTACCTTCTGTGTAACTGTTTTCCTTCCTCGAAGGAGACTTATTAGATCTTTTCTGTGCAGATGATAAATCCTGCAAAGTCCGACAAAATACACGACTTTAATCAAATACCTATTCTACTATAGATGTAGGTTACAAGATTTCCGGAATTTTTTTATAGCACAAACCTGATCTGCAGAAGACCCAGGAGTCTTCAACTCAAGGTCTGTGGCGACATCATTAGAATCTGCATTTCTTTCAGCTCTGCTTTCCCTCGATGATTTGTTTTTGGATTCCTGTTTTCCTGATATGTGGGACCGGCTACCTGGATGAAGAGGCGGGGATACGTACTGTGTGGATTGCTGTTCAACAATTGTGTTGGGGGCTAAAAACGGAACATATGTCGAACAGGGATTAGGGATGATTGCAGGATGTTGGTTAGCATAGTAGGGGTATGGCTGCATGGGAATTGAACCAGGAGGTACCGGCATTGGAACTGGATACGGGTATGATGGTGGAGCCATCATTACTGAATGATCCATTGTAGGCCATGGATACATAGTCCTGAGTTGCAGCTGATACTGGTTATTCAAATTCTCAATATCTGATTTAAGAGAAGCCTTTTCTTCTCTGAGATCATTTTTCTCCTGAGACAACTGAAAATTGAATGAAACAAAATGATTTCTTCTGTAACTTTAGGTCCCAAAAGCATCAAGGTGATTCATTGAACTGTGATACTATTACCTCACGAGATTCTTCATTTAGCATAGTATATTCATCTTTTAGTTTACTAACTTGAGAAGTAAGGTCCTTCAGCAATTGAACTGTATCGCCCAGAATGGTTGCTTTATCATTTTTAGGTCTATCAGGGTCTGCATTTTAGAGTCAGCAAAGACATATAGTGATTTAAGAGGAATTCTATTTTATTAGTTCTAAGCATCAAATTCGTAACACAAGGATGAATTCTAGAGAAGCAACAACCAACAATTGTTTGGTAAACTTTATCAGCATCTATAAACTTAAGTAATCTTCGCCACATGTAAACGATGCCAACATTTGTATAACAATAAAAAAACAAGTGTCGGTTATAGTGCTTCATTAGTAATACATTATACAACCAATGAGAGTTGGGAAGTTGTATATCATCAGAAAGTAAGGAATAACAGTAGAATATATAAAGAACCAGTGATGTTTTTTAGCGGTCTGCTCACTTTGCTATTCTTCTATGTTAGTAGCAGTGTTACCAAATTTCCGCCATGGCAGTTATAGATGGCGGTTTTTGGGCTCCCCGCAATGGTAAATATCAACTGATATAGTTGGTTTTTCTGCCATAATCCACAATAACGGCACCGCAAAGCAGTCGGTATGGTGGAATTTTGGCTCTCCTCCATGGACCACCATCGATAACAGTGGTTAGTAGAGAGTGAAGTTTACTTTACCTAAAATGTTACCCAGTTCTACAAACTGTTCATTGAGTCGATCCCTCCTTAACTTTTCTCGGTCAGCTTTCTGTGTCTTTCTAGCAGGTGTACACTCCATCGGTTCAACTTCAGAACTTTGGCAGGAGACAACACATAAGTTCCGAAAATGTAAAATAATCAAATGAACGGTTAGATACTTAGATAATTTATTTCAGCCTTGGAGAACCAAAACTATCAAAATGAAGTAAGTAATTTACTGCAACTCTTCAAGCAGTAATCTTTGTCGCCTCAAAAAACCAGAGCTTGATAATTTGTCCCTACACATTTTTTCAGATAAAGGTATTAATTTCATAGAATAATAACCTAACTTCTCAGCAATAAAATTCATAGAATCTTTCCTATTTAAAAATTACCAAAAGCTTATCTTCTTCCATTTAGTTTAACGTATGCGATGTTCCATTACTGCTTAAGGGGGGAATAAGACCATAGCAAAATTTCATTATAATCAACAATCAAGCCTTATTCCACTAAGTAGGATTGGTTACATGGATCAACTTATGTAATAATGTTCTATCTAGGACCATGCTTCTTCTACATGCTATGGTCATCAAAATATTGTAGCAAAAAAAAAAAAACAATACACAATCACAAACTCCCTTTAATTTTCTTACTCATAAGTAAACTAATACAAATCTTAACATGACTCAAATAATCATTGATTAGACTCAACTTCTCATTAAAGCACATTCATTCATGTACTACTAGCAAACCCTCTAAATTTCTCATACTGCACAACCAATTAACCCCAAACACCAATTTGAGATTTAACAGAAACAATGTTCATACACTTATTAGTGACAAGGAAACAAAGTGATTTTGGGGTTTCACTGTCAAAATGAGAAAAAGCTCAAAATTTTAAAACGAAGGAGTTAAGATCACACATAATTAAAAGGTAGTATAGAAAACGGAGCAAAACCCGTGTCAATTAACCGATAAAGATTGAAAATTGGAAGGAGAAAACGCATTAAGAGAAGAAATTATAGGGAAAATTGAGCTGAAAACAAGGTGAATGAAACTGCAATTAAGAAGAAAAGGGTTAGCGAAAGATTTCACCTTTATCTATTGTCGATGCTTATCTTCAAAATTTTCCAATTCCCATTCTTGTTTTGTGAATTCAGATTCTAATTGTTTGAGCGTAAAAAGGTAAAAGTGAAACGAAAGTTGGAAGCGGGGTCGTTTTGGATGAGAGCAAACGACGGTTTGTGCTGTCGTACGGTTGTCTCTGTATTCCCAATTTCGATAGAATAACGACCGAGTGAATTTGAAGGTAATAATTGGTACTAGTATTGTATACCATATGGATAAGCATGTCTTATTTATTATATTATATCAATTTAATTAATTATTGCTGATTTTATAAAATAATAATATACCCTTTTTTATTTGAAGGGTAATACTAATTTGTGTTCATGTTAAAAAATCTATAAATAAAAATTGGATTAAAAAATAATAAATTTATTAATTATAATTTTGTATTAATTTTAATATTTAATTTTTAATAAATTTTGAATAAAATATTACCCTTATTTTAAATAACATCACTTCCTTACTATGATTCTGCGAAATAAGAAAATGTGGATGTTTTTTTTTTATGTTGTGTAGTTACCACTTGTGCTATATTTGGCATAGAGAAAGAATGTGAAGAGAGAAAGAAGTGAGAAAGAGTTTGAGAAGATAGAGGTGTATGAGAAATAGAGTAGATTTTGAATATTATTTGGTATAGATAAAATAGAAGAGAAATAAAAGAGAAAGAGTGTGTTTTATTTTGAATAGGACAAAAATACCCTTTAATTAAAAATTAATATAAAATTTATGTTAATTTATATATTCATAGAAAATCATTTAATGTTAGCTTTATCAAATTTAATATAATTTATTAATTGATTAAATTAAATTTTTATTTATTTTTAAAGATTAATCAATTAAATTTAAATTCACTTATATTTTTAATTAATATAATGCAGTTAAATAGTATTAACATATTTATCTCTATGATATAACTTAATTAAATTATTTGATTTATTATATATTATTATTTATTTGCTTTTAATATTATTTTTATTTAAAAGTTATTAAATTAATTTTTTAGAAAAAACAAATAATATCATAACACAATATAATATAATTGCAAAATAATTAAACTGAAAAGTACGGTAGAAAGGAAGATAAAGCAAGGACAAAGGTGGAAATGAAAAAGAAATACACAAATCTCTCCTCTTTCTTTGCTAGTTTGAGAAGAAGATGAAAAACAGTGGATCTCATGTATTTTATCTCTCTTCTCTACTTCTATTTAAACCAAGTAGGAGAAATACTATATTTCTTACCCACTTCTCTCTTGGCAAGTTCTCTCAGCTATTTTACTTATTTCAAACACATTTTTAGTTAAAAATGTTTAGACATTTAATATGTTGTGTTGTATACATAATAATATATTGGATAACAAGTTAGTCGGTTATCTTATTATAAGTCGTTTAGGTAATGGGAAGGAAAACCATATACTTGTACGCCAACATCTAATAGAAGAGTTATCTTCTTATAAGGAAGATTACACGAAGTTATACAAGACTAAAAAACCATACAACGATACATTAAAATCTCTGATTCTTGATAGAATTGGTCTTCTAGTACCGAGTGAAAAGTGGATGTATTTTTGTAAAACAAGTCATCTTATAGCAAGTGCATATGACACAGTTTTCATTGAGTTGACAATATTGAAGTGTAATCCCAATTTCAGTTAACATTCATTTAAGTTTCATTTGAGTTTAATTTGAATTGCATTTAGCTTGAATGTGTGTTTATAAGTAGAAGTTGAATTTTCAGTTAAAACATAATTTTTTCATTCAATAGAAGTTAGTTATGTTTCTTTCACTTCCATCTTCATTATCTTCATCTTCTTCTCTTTTGTGCCCCAATAATTGGTATCTAGAGCTCTGGTTGGAATCCACAGGAAACACGAGTGTACATGAGACGTGTGTGATTGATTTTGTTTCTGAATTCATGTTGAATTTACGACCTGAATAAGAATATAATTATATTTCTTGATTCTGGGGGATTAGGAAACACGAGTGTTTGGTGAAATCTAAGGGAATTCTTGCACAAGATCGAAGATGAACGGTGGAAACAATAGTTTGAACACAAAGCTTTTAGTCTTTGATGGAAAGAATTGGAATTAGTGGATGATTCAGATGTGTGTGTTGTTTGGCGCTCAAGACGTTCTTGATCTTGTCAATGACAATTATGCACTGATTGCAATAGATGCAACTGAAGTACAAAGGAACACATATAGAGAGATGAGGAAGAAGGATCTGAAAGCTCTATTTTACATTCATCAGTATGTGGATGCAAATGTGTTTGAGAATATCCTTGATTCAAGGACGACGAAGGCTGCGTAGGATACAGTGGTACGATGCTACGACGGTGATACATCGGTAAAAAAGGTGAAACTTCAGAGTCTATGTAAGCAGTATGAGAATCTCAACATGAAAAAAATGAGAAGGTACGTGATTACATTTCTAGAGTGATTCTAATTACAAATGAGATAAAATCTTGTTGAGAGGCTCTCTCTGAAAAGGTAATCATTAAAAAGGTACTGAGATCGTATACTTCTCAATTTAAGTATATTATTGTAGTAATTGAACATTCTAAAGATCTGAGCACCATGAAAATTGAAGAGTTGCAGAGCAGTCTAAAGACATAAGAGTTGCGTCTGACTGAGAGAATCTCTGAAAGAGAGGTAGAGCATACTCTCAAGTCATCTTCTGGTAAGAAGAATCATAAGTAGTCTTGTTCAGAGACCAAGAAGAGACGTGATGGTGTTTATTAGAAGTCAGAAGTCTCCAATTTTTATGAGAAGAAACACTAAAAGGGAAAGGAAAAGTATGACAAGAAGAAGGTTCAATGTTATTCTTGTAAGAAGTCCGACCACTTTGCTACTGACTGTTGGTCAATCAAGGAAAGGAAATTAGAAGAATCTAACATAGTCATAAGAGAGTATGATGATGAACTTGTACTATTGATGTCTTCTGAATCTGATGGTGGATATTTAGTAGACTGGTGGTATATAGACACTGGCTACTTAAATCACCTGACTAGAAACAAATAATGGCTGATTGATTTTGACTCTAGAAAGAGGATAAAAATTAGATGTGCTGATGATAAGTATATGAATGCTGAAGGAATGGGAAATGTCAAGGCCAAAGTGAACAATGGAAAAACTTTTATGATCAAGGATGTTTGGTATGTTTCTAGCATGAAGAGAAATCTAATGAGTGTAGGATAGCTATATGATTCTGATCAGAAGCTAATTATATAGTATGAACAAGGAAGTAACAGAATATTGAAGGTGAATGTGGAAACAACTTAAACTAAATACCTTAGAGCTGAAGGTACTGACATTAAGAATAAGTTGTGGTACAAGAGATTAGGGCATCTGAACTTCAGAAGCTTGGGGAATTCAAGTTCTAAGAAGCTGGTACATGGAATTCCTAAGATTTTGAAGCCTAAGAAGCCATGTGAGATAAGCATGAGTGGCAAGCAACCAAGATTTCCATTTGCATCAGAAGTAGCCCCAAGAGCAAAACATGATTTAGGAGTAGTGCATTTTGATGTATGTGGACCATTTGAAGTACCTTCATTCAGAGGAAACACGTATTTTGTGTCTTTTGTGGATGAGTTCATAAGGATTACATATGTAACACTCATCAAGTTTAAGTATGAGATGTTTGTTGAGTTTCAAAAGTTTAAGGTGAAAGCTAAAAAACAAAGTGGTCAGAAGCTGAAAATTCTCAGAACTGATGGTGGAGGCGAGTACAACTCTATGGAGTTCATAAGGTTCTGTGAAGAGAATGGAAATGAGCATGATGTTACTGCTTCATACACTCCTCAACACAATGGTTTTGTTTAAAGAAGGAACATAACTTTGCTTGATATGACAAGGAGCATGTTTAAGGAGAAGAAACCCCCTCACACCTTACGGGGAGAAGTTATTGCTACTACAACATATGTGCTCAACAGGTGTCAAACCAAGAATGTGAAATAAATTTTTCCTTTAGAGAAGTG